AAAATAAAAAATGTACATAATATAAAGGTAATTTTAAATCTTCATAAAATTAAGAATCGTTTTATATAATTGGTTTTGTTTTTATTACTAAAGTAAATGTGTGTGTGTGTGTGTGTGTGTGTGTGTGTCTTTTTAAAAACTTATATTTTGTTTATTATTACACATATTCCGTAATTGTAAAATTTTCTATTAAAAATATTATATTATTATAATGCATAATATGTAACTTAATTTAAAAATACCTAAATAATATCTAAAACTTAATCTATTTAATTATTATGTATCTTTTACTTTTAATCACTTTTTTACTTTAATCACTTCATTGCTAATACAACAAATTTTCTAAATAAAAAAATTACTTATGTTGTAGCAACATAACATTTTTTTCATATAATAAGACTTTGCTATTATACAGTATTTTCAACAATTTATAATAATAACAATAAAATTGTGTGTGAATATTTTGTATTTTGTTTTGTGTCTTGATTACTCATAATAAAATTATAAATACAATTATAAGATAATTTTATAGCGAGATTCAATCGTACACATGTACCAGACGAATATTTAAATTTTCCTAAAAACAAACCCCATATGAACTTTATTCTACTTTTAGATTTGTGCATTATACATAACTTCGAAAACCGGTTAATCACGTGCACACTGCATGTACATAATTTCATCTCGAAGAGATAATAAATACTCAAGAACACTTAAAATAAAATATACATACTTGATGTTTATTATTTCCTGCAGTTAATAACCTCGCGATCAAGCAGAGCGAACAAAATTCAATTGAATTTTACACACGAGACAACAAACAGCGGACACTAGACACGATGGTACTATAGATGGTACCATATATATAAAGATCTATTTTTTATTCCTGCACTTTCTGAACTGGTACATTCGGTGCAATAAGTTAAAGTGAAATAAAATGGAAAATGGAAAAATAAATATACGTGTTTTGTTTCAACTTATTGCATCGAATGCTTGTTCAGAGAGTACAAGAATAAAAAAAAACTAATCTATAGTATAAAAATATAAGAACTGCGTTCAGGGAACACGCTGTCAATGCTATTTGTGTTACTATCCTTGTTTCATGTTTAACGGACAATGAAGATGAATGACACAAATAATGCTAATAGCGTCTCTCCGAATCCAGCCATAAGGTTCCATTATGGCGTCAAACTAAACCAGAACAACCCAAATGCTTGCCCAATGTAAAATTAATGGAAGTGCAGTATGCACATGATAGCAAGTGGCTGCGTTCAGCAGAGAAAATTAATCAGTTAGCGCTTAATGATTCCTTAATATGATTGGTTCTTACACTTAGATCCAACGAAGAACTGAAGGCAAGAATCAATCATATTAAAAAATCACTAAGTGTTAACTGATTAATTTTATCTGCTGAACGCAGTCATTGGCTACGTTCAGTAGAACACAACAGTTTTGCAACCAAGTTTTATGATTCTCTGCTGAGATTGGACCTCAGCATCATTCTTCTTAATCTAAAAGCATAACCTAATCAGCGCGAAGAAAATTTCCAACAGTGCAAAATAAACGTTCTGCTGAACGCAGCCAATGGCTGCGTTTAGAGCCCATTCTACATTAGACGCAAGCTGATCGCAAGTTTGTTGTGACAGCCAATCTGAAACTTGCATTGAAATCAATGGTTTTCATTGGCTGTCGCAATAAACTTGCAATTAACATAGGATCGCGGCTTAATGTAATGTAATGGGCTTAGCAGAGAAAGCAATTTTGCAACTGTTGTAAAATTCTTCAATATGAGCTATTCCAAAATTGACTGCCTGTACTGCCTGAAAATCTATAGTGTACGTAACGTAAATTGTAGCATTTTCAGTGCTAGCAGTAAATTTGGAACACGGCCATGATTGGTTTATACGTTTAGATCCGTAAGGAAAGTCCAAATCCAAAAGTAAGAACCAATCGTATTGAAGAATTTTATACAGTTTCAAAGCTGCTTCTTTGCTAAATGCAGCTATTGGAGCGCAATTTTAAGTCGCTCCATTGCTCACTAAGCGCTACATAACTTTACGGCCCAAACACAGCATAAAGAAATAATAAATAGTAATAAATAAATAAGGAATATGATATTAAAAATTATCTATAGACAAGTTATTCTACATTACGAATTATAATAAATAAACATATTAATCATAGATTAACCCCTTTTTTGCTAATGAACGGTTTTTTTTTGCTGAACGCAGCCAATCATATTCCTTATTTTTACAATTTGGGGCAACGAATACCTTATATTTTTCAGCCTGTTTTTCAATAAAATGTTTTACAATAAAATCACAAGTTGTAAAGCCTTGTGTCCACAATACTAGAAATCGGTCCAAGACTTCGGATGAAGAAAGAATTGATCAATTACAATAGTCATGTGATCAAATTGTTCAAATGTGATTTGTTAATTTTTTTTTTCTGTCCGAGATCTCGGACTGATTTCTAGCATCGTGAACATCGGGTTTAAAAAATTAATCAATTAAGTCCAAGACACAATGCGATCAGTAATCGGATATATCGGAATACACAGTTTCTGATAGGTTGAAATCGTGTTATTTCTATCTCTATCACTATTCCCTCGCATTGTGTCTTGGGCTTTACAGTTGAATTTAACAAAATAAGTATGATAATTAATTAGCCTATGATTATATTTAAAGCCTTGTAGAACAGGCTTTATATTAATTCTAATTAGCGACACTTTTGTCTTCTCCTATAATCCTATTGGACATTGGATGTCGTACATCAGATGTGTTACGTGAAATATGAATCCTACATAAGAAACAGTCAAAAGTGGAAATATGTGCACGTGATACATTACTTTTTTCTTTGCTCTTCTGCACATCAGGTTGCTTGTTTTGGCGGTATTGACTCTTTCTATTTCTCTAGAGGTGCTATTAATTCGAGAACCAAAAGACGTGCACGTGCACTTGAAGGAGAAAACGAAAGATTACAAACATGTAATGTATTTGAAAGGAATCGAAACAAAAAATAGATTCTTGGACACGCATTGAAAGCTTGAAAAAAAAGGAGTCAGATTTGATTGTCAAATTTGATTGACAGGTCATCGAGTATGGCCATGTTGCGACAAGTCAAGCCAACATACAGACTCTTCGACGAAGGTGTTATCTTTCTGTTTCGAGATAACGCTGTTCCATCTTTCAGAACATTCAACTCTTCGATGGTATTCGCGAGACAACAACAAAAATCAGAAAGCAACAACGAAGTGAAGGAGAATAATAACGATAGCAGACTTGGCGGTAACAAGAGACTGTCTATTGACGAGGCAACGATCAGGAGGCTCGAGAGGTTGGCGCTAATTGGCTTCGAATTTAAGCAGAGCAAGCGAGTGCTGGAAGAAGCGATAACTTTTGCCGAACGGCTACGGACAGTCCACATCGACGAGACGGTACGTCCGATGTACAACACTCTGGAGAATAATTGCATTCATCTGCGGGACGACGTAGTGCAACACGACATCAATCGGCGTGAAATATTGAGGAACGCCGCGGTGCTAGAAGAGGAATACTTTGTCGTGCCACTAACGACGAGCAAGGAGAAAAAAAGTGAATCTGAATAATGAGTTTAGAAGCTGTATTGAAAACTGTCGGGTCGCATTTCCTCAGTCTGTCTGAGCGAATGTTTGTGTATGGACCCCAGGGCAAGCTAGTGCTGAGGAATCTCGAGGAACACTGGTTCTCTCACTGTGTCACAATGCCACATTATAATGTGTTCCCATGTGATACAATCGCAGATACATTGCAACAACTGCGGAGTAATTCGATGGACATGCTGCCATTTGCACTTGTCACACTGGGAACATCCAAGAGCGTGTGGAACGAGTCTTTGCTATTAGTGGATAAAGTACCATCTCACAGAATTGCCAAGATCAACGTATTTGTTGATGCGTCGGACTCGAAGAGTCTGTTGTATAAGAAGCAAAGAGAGCGCAAAGTATGGTGGCGCAAACTTGCTCAGCATCCCTCGAGATTCGTCTTCGCCGAGGCAAAGAAGATGAGGAATCTGGATGTGACGGAGATAGAGGCGCAATTTCCTTTTGGAAATATCATCGTGGAAACAATCACTCATTATCCCGGCATACGCAAGTTGTATCCTCAGGTATAATGCTTTCTTATTGAAATATTGGTAGCATTATGAAAGACAGAGAGAGAATTATTTAAATGGGATATTTATTTACAGATTGAAAATAATAAAGATAATGTTATGGATGTGCATATGATCGAGCATATCGCTTCCATGGATTGGGGCTGCTTGGCATTATTCTGTGACAGCCATATGCTGGATAAATCAATTAGAGCGTATATTCATCCTAAGTTATGCCCATACAAAATCACGTTTCACATAGAAAAACAGAAAAATGAGACTGATTCAGATATAGAAGACTTGAATCGCTTTGTGCTATACTTAAACAATATGCTTAGAACGAGAGGGATCTCTACCATATTGACAAATACAGAACAAATCGTCAATACAGAACAAATGTGCCTAATACCATACGTCGTGTCAGTGGATAAGACTAGTCTTAAGAATGGCGTTGTACATGTAAAAAATCGATCAACGACGCTTAGTGAGGCAGTTCACATTACTGACTTGGTAAAGTATATTAGCTTGCGTTCTTCTTGAATTACCATAGTGGCAATTCAATTGGATTTTTCGATCAATGTTTATAAGATATTGCTATCATGTAACTATATTTAACTATATTTATTACTGACAGTTACAACGATATAAACTGTAAATATAAATGAAAATTCTGGTTTCTATGTTCTCTCCTCTTTTATCCCTATTTTGTTTCTGAATTTGAAGATAAGTAGTTACTAACTCGATCTTATGTGGTAATGTACATTTTTTTTTTAAATGAAGTATGCAAAATAAAACAGTAAAGACAACTTAGATTTTCTGATCCTGAAAAGGAGATGCAACACATGGCATCGTACAAGGGATGATGGAAGGAAGGAAGAAAGTTTATGGAAAGGGGATGCCAGACAATTCATACTTAATGAAAACGTGCATCGTCTTGCACATTTCACAAGCCTCCCAGGATTTCCCGAATTTATCTCAAATTGGCGATGCCACAGAGACAGTTGAACAATTCTCCGATACAAGAGGATAATACTCTCAACTGAAGCTAAGCAGGTAGTTGTAACTTCTTGCCTTTGAGTACTTTGGTAATATAGAGGTAGAAAAAGTCACAATAGAGAACTGTCTGCACCAATCCAGCAACTATAGCGATCAAGTCGTAATGATCTTCAGCATAGTAGCGGTAGACCCAATTAAACAGGTACAGGCCTCTGTATGATCCCAATGCGAACAAATAATGGCTGGTAATGCTTTCTGCCTCGCCCGTTTTCGATACCAGAAACAACTGTGGTAATATTGCCACTGACTCTAGATAAATGCTGAATGTCCACAAGACCTCGATGAAGGACAGTTCGTGATTGATCAGCAATGCTAGTATAAATGCTGGTAAAATCAAGAACTCGATCCTGAAACAAGAATTCATCGTCATCACATTCCCAATGAAAATACCAACTGAGGAATATCATTTTAGGTCTGATCTTTTTAACTAAACTTATACCATTCATCTTCTTTGATTTATGATCGTTTCTACCAACGTAGAAACTTCTCAGTTCAATTTACTTTTTATCTTTTCCTAATTCTTAAAATTAAAAAAAGATGAAAAGCTAGTTGAATTAAGATTCTAATTATATTGATAGAAATAGATATTAGGTTCAGTTTCTTCAATGTAAAATTTAACTAACTATTTAATTTACTATTTAATTGACTATAATTATCTATAATTCTTTAATTATCTATAATTCTTAAAATTAGAAAAAGCTAAAGAATAAATTGAACCGAGATGGAAGTTAATCTTAATATTGGTGAAACTGGGTGCTCATTTCTACTAATATAGAAAAATTTTAACTTTAGTTTAACTTATTTTTTATCTTTCTGATTTTGCAAAATGACAAGTTAAACTGAGATTAAAGGGAAAAAAATCTATGTTAGTAGAAATAGGCATTAAAGAGAGAAAGAAAGAGGGATAATCTGGTTTATGGAAGTCATCTGTTCTTTTTAGCTGAACTTGCAATTTTTCTCTTTTTCTTCCCAATGTGAAAAGAACAAGAAGACAAATTTTGCAGTTTAGCTAAAAAGAACAAGCTTTTATGTCATAATTCATAAATAAAGTTTAATACAATGCTTTTATTCATAATGATAACAATCATATGAACAAAAGCATCAAAATCATTCTTGGAGTTTATTGATTCGGTCTCCATAAATCAGAAAAGGAAAAAAGATAAATCATGCAAGAAGTTGAAAAAGAACCAGCTTATTGATAGATTTTGGAGTACTTTTTCTTACCTGAACGTGTCATGATTATGATCGTACGTAGCTTTGAACTTAATATACATCAAAAAGACCGTGGCGAGAGATGCGGCAATGAACACGATTTTCATGAATGTGTTGTATGCCGAGATAAATGTGGTGAACAGATCTAGATAACGGGTAGTATAAACAATCGCGAAGAGGATCTGTGATTTGCCACTGATACCTGTGAATGTTGAAACATCGATAATCACTATCTGTTGAAGATGAGCCTTTATCAGCATTCGCTCGTCACAATTTATTAAACTCGTTACGAACACTAGCATTCCTTGAACGATATGATCAAGGCGATCCGACTCACCGGCGCAGCTCCGTGTCTTCCATATCTTTACGAGTAGTATGATAATGGCTAAAAGATGCGATAAATCGCCCAGCAATCGGAATATATTCATGTCTGCGGTCGCGGGGATATGACTTTACGTAAAAAAAACCCGCGGGAGAAGATAAAGAGCCAGCTCGCAGCTCGTTCGACAGCGGCACACAAATATGACGTGGCTCTGGCTGTGGTTACAGCAGATGGCCGACCCCCCGGAATCAGATTGAACACTTCGGTCCCGATGTTGACATCGAGTCATCGGGAGAGCGAGAGAGACATCTGGAGAGGGAGCCTGCATCGTGCAATTTTTTTGCCATGCGAATTGACGAGTCTAGGAATTTTGAAGCGAATTATAGTAACTTATCAGTTTGATCTAGTGGAGAAAATATCGATGCAACTCACTGGCGAATGACATTAGTCAAAAATTTTGGTTTGATTTGTGATTCGCCAATCGAATAATAATGGTTTCCACTGGAAAAATTAGTCCAATATTCTGGCCTCTTTCATCAACCTTTGGTTGATAAATTTTAGTTAAAAAGTTAATCATGAGTTGTGAAATTGAGTCTAAAATGAGTCCCATGTAACCATCTGTTAACTTAATCGAGATTGGTGAAAAAGACCCATTGTTACAAATCAGTTGTATTTCCAGCGTGATAAATAATTTTTTTAAGATTATGAGAGAGAAGTTATCGCAACAACAAAGAACATGTATAGTTAAACATATATAGTTAAAAGAGATAAATTATCTATTAACACTGAAAATGAGTGTTAAATTCAAGGGTTAAATTCAATTATTTCAGTGCTCTAGTTTTTCCATTGAAAACACTGTGTGCAATTAAATGCAAATCAATTCATATATTGTTATTAATAAGTTTAACCTTTTGATTCTTTGTCGCCACAATATTTCTCTCTCTCTCTCTCTCTCTTTCTCTCTCTCTCTCTCTCTCTCATAACCTTAAAAAAGTTAAACTATTTATCGACGAAGTGCAAAAAGTATGAGCAACACAAACAGATCTACATTTCCATCAACCTCGTATCCCGCTCGAGCAGAGCGCATGTGCAGATTCGCTTCATAACAACAGTGGTGGGGCTCAACGTTTTTCTAACGGTAGAGGAATGATGGGAACGGTGGTGCAGGACAGTGCAGAGCTAGGATTGCTGGGAAGTCGTAAGTTTTGCTGACGCAGGTCGCAGCAGGCGCTGGAAATGATTGGAGGTCTTTCGCGCGAGCTCCTGTGAACCACAGCAAAATGGCGACGTCCGACTCTAAAGCGTCTTTACGGACGGTGAAACGCGTTCAATTCGGGATCCTCTCGCCCGACGAGATTGTAAGTAAACTGTATGATAATTTGCAATAGTTCCGAGGCAGAATTTGCGAGAAGTGGAACTCTTTCCAGGAATTACATGGCGCAATCTCGCGCAACGTCACATATCTACCCGTAGCACAATGATCTCTCGCGGGTTTAAATGTACAAATATAGTTTACTCGATAGCTTTTACATCGAAACATTTCTGATAAATATTGACTCATGACAATTGATTTTGTTACTACCTGCGATGTCTAATGTATAAAAAATTAAATTGCGTGTAAAATATTGATGATGTAGTATTAGTGCCTGTATGTAACTGTCGTACTTTTGTAATGTTAATTATTGAGAAGTATTACTAAAAATGAAATTATGAAAAATATATTTTCTAAGAAAATGTGAAATATTGAATATAAGTATTTATATTTAATTGTATTTATATTTAATGTGTTTATTCAATCACTACTTGTTTGCATTCTGTTATAAGAAAACTGTATGATGTCAATGAAGATTCTTCAAGTACTTATGTTTTTCATATGAAACTTCTTCAAAGTATCAATTTTTCAAGCCTGTTGATTGGCTACAGAATACAGAAATCTGTGAATTTCTAATATCTATTTTGTATGCTTTTAAGCCTATTCTATAATGTGCTTTTTGTTTTCTGTTTCTTGCTTTTTGCTATTTTTTTGTTTTATGTTGTCTGAAATAAAAGTTAATGAACTTTGAAAGAAACAAGAAAAAAACTTTGAAAGAAACGTAGCAAAAAATACAATTATTGATAAAAAAGCAAAAAGTAAAAAGTAAGAAACAAAGAACACTTTGTAGAATAGACTTTAGCAATGAATAGGCTTTAACAATGCCAGTATTATATTAGGCCTATTCTTTTTAGCTGAACTTACACACAGTTCATCTTTCTCCTTTTTCTTTTTATGTTAGAGAGAAAATATATATACAAAATAATTTACATACATAAAATAGTAAAATATACAAGAAGATAATATCAACTTATTTTCTCTATATAAAATATAGACAATAGTTATAATAAATATAGTTAAATCTGTTTGATAAAGTAAAAAAATTAAGATCTCTTATCTATAATAATGTCTATAATATATAATATAAATATAGATTTTATAATATCTCGATTAAATTTAAATTTTTTATAAAATATGAGTTGTTATACTTTTGTGTAGCGTCGTATGTCAGTTACCGATGGCGGCATACGATTTCCCGAAACTATGGAGGGAGGCCGCCCTAAATTGGGTGGTCTTATGGATCCAAGGCAAGGTGTTATTGACAGGAATTCCAGGTGTCAAACTTGTGCTGGCAATATGACTGAATGCCCTGGTCATTTTGGTCATATAGATCTAGCAAAACCAGTATTCCATGTGGGATTCATCACAAAAACTATAAAGATATTGAGATGCGTGTGTTTTTACTGTTCCAAATTACTTGTCAACCCTGTAAGTATTTATTCAAGATTCATGTGTTCTGTTTATAAAACCCATAAGTTTTGCATTTAATGAATTATTCACATTCTGTATCTTTCTAAAAATTTATAATTATAGAAATTTAAAATTGATTAATGAATCTTTTTATTTTGAAATAATAAAAATATATGAAATTATAAAATAATAATAGGAAATCTTTTATATCTTCAAAAAAATTGATAATAATCAGTTCATTTGATTGTTAAATGTGTTATCTTTAAATAACATCAAAGAGGAAGTTAAAAGAATTCTTCAGAACATTAATCCTTTTCTGCTATTTTCAGCATAATCCAAAAATAAAAGAAATCGTTATGAAAACGAAAGGACAGCCGCGGAAGCGACTCGCATTCGTTTATGATTTATGCAAAAGCAAAAACATCTGTGAAGGCGGAGATGAAATGGACATCAACAAGGAGAATGTGGAGAACCAACCTCAAATGGACAGAAAACCAGGTCATGGTGGTTGTGGTAGATATCAGCCTAATCTTAGACGGTCTGGCTTGGATGTCACTGCAGAGTGGAAGCATGTTAATGAAGATTCACAAGAGAAAAAGATAATTCTCTCGGCCGAAAGGGCCTGGGAAATTTTGAAACACATTAAAGACGAAGAATCTTTCATCTTGGGCATGGATCCGAAATTTGCACGGCCAGATTGGATGATTGTCACCGTATTGCCAGTACCACCACTGTCTGTTAGACCTGCGGTCATTATGTACGGTTCCGCTAAGAATCAGGACGATCTAACGCACAAATTGGCAGACATTATCAAATCAAACAACGAGTTAGTACGAAATGAACAGTCCGGTGCAGCCGCACACGTAATTTCTGAGAATATAAAGATGCTACAGTTTCACGTGGCGACGCTCGTCGACAACGACATGCCCGGTATGCCCCGGGCAATGCAGAAGTCGGGCAAGCCGCTCAAAGCCATCAAGGCCCGACTGAAAGGAAAGGAAGGCAGGATTCGTGGAAATCTGATGGGTAAACGTGTGGACTTCTCTGCGCGTACTGTTATCACTCCTGATCCCAATTTACGTATTGATCAAGTAGGCGTACCGCGCAGTATAGCGCAAAATCTGACATTCCCCGAAATCGTGACGCCCTTCAACATCGATAAGATGCAGGTGCTAGTCAGGCGTGGCAATTCGCAGTACCCTGGCGCGAAATACATAGTACGCGACAACGGCGAAAGAATTGATCTACGCTTCCATCCCAAGTCTTCGGATCTGCATCTGCAATGTGGCTACCGAGTGGAACGACATATTCGCGACGGTGATCTCGTAATCTTCAATCGTCAGCCTACTCTACACAAGATGAGTATGATGGGTCATCGTGTTAAGGTGCTTCCGTGGAGTACATTCCGCATGAATCTAAGCTGCACATCGCCGTATAATGCTGATTTTGACGGGGATGAAATGAATTTACACGTTCCACAGTCGATGGAGACACGTGCAGAAGTTGAGAACATTCATGTGACTCCACGACAGATTATTACCCCACAGGCAAATAAACCGGTTATGGGAATTGTACAGGATACTCTGACAGCAGTCAGAAAAATGACCAAGCGTGACGTATTTATTGAAAAAGAGCAAATGATGAATCTACTTATGTTTCTGCCTAGCTGGGATGGCAAGATGCCACAACCGTGTATTCTGAAACCGAAACCGTTATGGACCGGCAAGCAACTGTTCTCTCTTATTATACCAGGTAATGTGAACATGATACGTACGCACAGCACACATCCTGATGAAGAAGACGATGGTCCATACAAGTGGATCTCGCCGGGTGACACAAAGGTAATGGTAGAACATGGAGAACTTGTAATGGGTATTCTTTGCAAAAAAACCCTGGGTACATCAGCTGGTTCTTTGCTTCATATTTGTATGCTCGAGCTGGGCCACGAAGTGTGCGGACGCTTTTATGGCAATATTCAAACAGTTATCAACAATTGGCTATTACTAGAGGGTCATTCGATTGGTATTGGCGATACTATTGCTGATCCGCAAACATATTTGGAGATCCAGAAAGCGATCAAAAAGGCCAAAGAAGACGTGATAGAAGTAATTCAAAAGGCACACAACATGGAACTTGAGCCTACGCCTGGCAACACGCTTCGTCAGACTTTCGAGAATCAAGTAAACAGGATACTGAATGATGCTCGAGACAAGACCGGAGGCTCCGCTAAGAAGTCCTTGACAGAATACAACAATTTGAAGGCCATGGTAGTATCAGGCTCAAAGGGTTCCAACATCAACATCTCTCAAGTTATCGCTTGTGTAGGCCAACAAAACGTTGAAGGTAAACGGATACCCTTTGGTTTCCGTAAGAGAACGCTGCCACATTTCATTAAGGATGACTATGGACCAGAGTCCCGTGGTTTTGTCGAGAATTCGTATCTCGCTGGTCTCACGCCCTCCGAGTTCTACTTTCACGCAATGGGTGGTCGTGAAGGTCTTATC